CCCACACAACTGGAAAAAGACTGGTAATAATAATCAAATCTAGATGATAGTTACTAAAGCTTTGGTGAAATAATTTCAATTAAACGTTCAATAAAATGTTCGGTTAATATAACTAAAATCATAACTAAACGTTTACTTAACTTTTTTAATTATTATCAAATGGTTGCTGAATGTTATTATAATTGGTATAATATTTATTTAATATTGCGCACCAATGCACGATACAAAATACGTCTGCTAACTATTATCAGATTTTATAAAATCGGTTCAAATAATCATTGCAGTGAAACAACTGATGGCGAAATCGATTAAATATTATTAATAATCGATCAAATCGAATAAACCATCAAGTCGTAAAAGAGCAAAAGTGAACCAAGAACTGTAGGCCGCCGCCACCATGATTGGCGAGCGGGTATTTTGCTGGGTCACGCCAAAGCCAAAGGGATGAGAAAAGTGGTATAAGTGAGGAAGAGAGGAAGAGAAGGAGAGAGAGAGAGAGAGAGAGAGAATAGCTGGGAAAAAGGAGGATGAGGATGGAGGAGAGTCCGCTCTCGTTAATAACCGGACTCGACTTGATTATGGTCGCCACCAGCGGCGCGGCCGCTTTAGCCTCTGCGCGGCGGTCGCATCGAACGAGGTAGCCGCTAATGGGCCGGATATGGATGAAAAATTATCTCGGCTTAATGCGCGCGCGAACGTGAACGCGAGCCGGAGCCGGGGCCGTTTTTCGTTATTACGCGAGCTCTGCCGCTTTAAGGCGAGCTCCGCCGGCGAATCTACCAACGGCAACGCGATAGATACCCACCCGCGCCCTTTACTTCGGGCTTCTCTTCCTTCCTCTCTTTCTACATATTTATCCGTCTCTCCGACTATCCAAATTCGTTCCATAATTAAGCGCTTGATTATCGGACTAATCGTACTGGGCGTTTCCAACGGAACGGTCGGCACAGTTGATTTCCGATGCCCGGACCGGAATAATTTAATTTATGGCGAGCACTCTTCCCCGCTCACCGCTCTCACCACGTGCCGTCCCCCGCCGAAATGTTTATAACGCCGACGCTAGTTCGTGCGATAACGTAAACAGAATGATTGATTAACCGCACCGAATCAGTGGTCGCGCGCGCGCGCGCGCGCGTGGATGCTCCTTACGCGAAGAGAGCGCGACGGTCACGCGATATACTTAGACATTATCGCGCTACCAAACTCATTCTATCGTTTTAGACAGGCGTCTCATTTTCATTTAATTTCTATGTAAATTACGTTATAGACTTTTATGTACATCTAAATTACTTCGTATAAAATTAATGGAAAAAAGTGATTACAAAACGGATATGGGAGCACTCAACTACTTTTACTTGCGTCGTATATACCAAATATCTCGCATTTCCATGTACATATGATTCATTTGATGTAATCAGGAGACAATTTTCTCAAAATCGAACGAGTGTGAGTATATGGCTAATAAATAAATAAAAAATAGATGAAATTTTTTCTAATAGACAAAATTTACGAGGAAAAGATAATTTTGCTTTTTTAAACCAACCGATCCGAGCACATTCGAAATTAAAACTTAAACTAATATTCCAACGAAATTGGAGAAAAATCACGAACGTGTCGTGTTAATTGGTTACGAAGAATAAATGTTCCCGCGAGCCTATGGAGACTCTTTGCAAACTATCGAACTCGGGAGAGGTGTTTCGGACCGGCACTCACACGATCCCGCGGGAGACACGTGCAGCGAGCAAGATTACACCTGGTAACGCGACTAATCCTTTATAGCTAGTTACACCCAGAAACTTCCGCGCGAGAGTCGCAAAAGTTTTGCGGTAGCAAATAATTCGGCGATAGGTAACTTTTGCAAGTGCTGTACGTGTCGGGCGAACGCTTTTAACGGCACAGAGTTAGCGACGGAGAGAGAGAGCGCGCTCATTGCACCCCACCTGAGAAATAAACGTGATTATTTGCGCAGCGCTTCCGATAACCGTGATCGAGCGAATCGTTCGGGTGCGCGACGGAAGTGATCGGCGGAAGCACAGTCGGGTTTTTCAAACACCAGTCGTGTAAATAACGTCGACTTGTTTTCAATTCATCGAATGGTTCTCGCATGCAACGTATATTGCCTTCTAATAACAGCAGGGGTCGCCAATTACGAGCTATCGAAGTGCAAAGTAAATATAAATGGAAAATTGAAATAAAGTTGCACGTGTACGTGAAAGAAAATATGATTATAAAATATTTATACAATCCAACTGAATTGTTAATATAAATATGTGATATGTAACAAAAAAGAAAATCGTATTAAACCTATGTAAAATAAAAGATAAAATAAGAATTAATCAAATTTCAAACGAATCATCCCAAGTAGATGAAATAGAACGCAAATCATCATGACATCAAAATGGCTCCAAAATGATGTTAAAAATCACTTTTCAATCAGTAACGATCAGTTTCACTTAACGTCACTTTGATATTATCATGATTTGTTGTTCCGCTTGGGAGAACAACAGGTCACGGTAACATCCAAATGACGTTGAAACGAATTATGATTGATCAAAAAATGATTTTTAATCATCATTTTGGAGCCATTTTGACGCGTCGAACGTCATCATGACTATTTGTTCTACTTGTTGAGATTTCCCTGTCATGTCTTTCTCTACTATTAAAATCGTATTAAAGTCGCGAAAGCACAAGGTATTTATAACATTTTAGGATAATGATTGTTTGGAGTGCTGTTCAGCGCACAGAGTATAATTATCTCTTCCCGGTGCAATCTGATCTCCCGTCTTACGGTATCTTGACGCGAGCCTCCGGACGTCAGCCTTCGGAGTGTGGGACGCGGCGCGGCGCGATCGAGTTTGGGCCACGATGTCCGGGAGATTACGGGATACTCAATTAGGGGATTCAGTGTCATAGAATTCGAGAGCCTCGGATCAAGAGCTCTTATCGTGCGAGTAACTTTGGATATACCCGCCAATTCCACTCCGAGTATTTCAGAGTGCCGCTATCCACAAGATATGGCTCGCAAACGATTTCGAAAAATGTCGAAAGTCGAATCGTTGTCGTTGACGACATCGACAAGAAAATCGGCCTCTGCTTCAGGAGCAATCAACTGCTAATGCGTGCGTTAAACCTTTTTGTAATTTCATCATATGCAGTACGTTTGTTTGATTATTATTTGAGTATAAAACCATAATGATTATTTTACCCAATAAGTTTGCTTTTTATTTAGCAGAAAGTGATTAAATAAATGCAGTGAGAGAAAAGGTAACATTTTTCACCATCTAAAGATTAATTAATTCTTACTCCCGTGTGTGAAATGGAAAGCTTTTACAAAATTAAATTCTTTCAATGCAACAGTACTTTATACATATATACATGCGAATAGCAGTTATTTTTCCGATAATTTAAACAATTATCGTTTCGATGTGAAATTAATTATTTTTAAAATTTGTTCTTTCGCAATGCTTTAGCGTGCAGAATGCTCTGCAACATTTGTTTTAATTCGACACGCATATAGCGATCTTTGAATCACCTATGCTGCCTATGCAAGCGATAAAATGAGCTTGCGCCGTAATGCTTGATATTGGGGAAAACTGCGAAACATCTGTTGAAGAAGCGTATGACGCTAGCAAGAGATTAAACCGTCAGAATGGCGATCGCGAGAATTTCGAGCCGATTTGGCGAGAGAGAGAGAGAGAGAGAGAGAGAGTGCTGTGCAAATCCTGACGCAGTCTTATCGATCCGAGAGGAGAAGCGAAATAACGAACGAACGATACGGTGCACAGTTTGTTGCGATTACTCCGGCTCGTGGCTATTTGTTTTCCATAGCGGTGCGGTAGCACCGGAATATCGGAGCCGGTGGCAGCGCAGAAACAATTTCGCGCGGCGCAGGAGTGACGGCTGAAATATCGCGAGGAATGTCATCTATCGTATATCACCCGGGGTATGAGTAATATTCACGTAAAACTCAAGTCCTTACGAGCGACATTCATCGCCCTTCGAAAACGTGCCGACAAGAATTTTTCCTCCTTTCCAGATGACGGATGACGCGGCTCGTCGGCATAATTAACGATATTCGATCAAGCAAACCTAGCTCGAACCTGTGTCAACTTTTAAAGGGCCGCCGAGTTGTGTTATACATACATATTTGCCGAAAAATTTTTATCCAAGACAGAATTTCTAGCTTAATTTGTTGCCTCGAAATTACCACTTCAGATTGCAAATGTTAGCTCGAAAGTTATTATATATATGGATAAATGATGATTTTGCGTCTGTCTTGATAGATACTTTCTTTTAGAGGAGACGGGAGAGAGAGAAAATCGGTGAATTCTAATTAATTTTAATGAACGTCTACGATCAGAAATGCCTTACAAGCAGCATAAAGTTTTCCGATCCTTTAGGGATTAAGTGAAGTCGAACGACAGGTAGTGTTATGTGCAAATGAATTGAATTCACTTGTGCTTTAAGTCACATTTGTCCAACATGAGACGATAAGCCTCGATAAGCTATCAACAACTCCGAGTATCGCGTTCTGACCAGGTTTCCCTCAAGTCAAATCAAAGCTCTCCCCCGCTATCACTACGTGACGGCGAATTATCGTTCTCGAGTATCGCTCTCGAAACTTTCGCGGCACCGTGTTCTAATCCGACGAATCTCGTCACGCGACCTCACCAAGTATGTCACCAGCTGCTTTTCGACCCAGTCTTAAAGCAACTCCTGTCAGGAAAAGCCCGGGGATCGAGACTTGCTGAAAGCTTTGAAACTTTGGATCCGGTAATCAAGACTATTAGAAATGCGATATAATTTCGGTGAGTGCAATTTTCGATGCAAAATACTGCAACATTATTGCCGAGTATATACGCAAGAAGAAACGAATCTCATCGCACAAGTCCCCCTTAACAACGCTACTATCGTTGTAACAGCGTATAGTAGAAGGTGTGTTGAGGGCATTTGAATGCCGGCCGGCGAAAAAGAGAAGGAAGATAGGAATCCTCACTCACCGGTCATCGTAGACGAAACCCGCTTGCAGGGTGTTGCAGTAGAGTGCCGTCGCGACGAGGGCGCAGGCTACGGCGAGGATATCCATGTCACATCGTGCTGTCGAGAAGGTTGGCGGCGACAGCGACGTCGACGGCGGCGGCCTCTTAACTTGTTGCACGTCCACGGGCCTTCCTCCTGCACCACTACTGCTACCACCACCAGCAGCAGCAGCAGCAGCAGCAGCAGCACCAGCACCACCGCCACCTCCACCTCCTCCCCTACGCCTCCGCCTGACGCGGCCGGTTCTTCGCGCGGCGACGGCCGAGACGTCCGCCGGACGATCGAACGACCGCCGATCTGACGTCGCCTGCCTGGCTGACGGGTCCCGCGCGGGATGAATGTCGGTGACGCGTCCCCGAATACGATCCAGCAACGAAGCGGCTCCCGGTGACGCGGACGGACCCGGGTTCTCGATCTCTTCAGGCGCGACCGCGAAATTCGACCGCCTCTTCACTTCGAGGTCTCACATCGGCGGTCGTTCGCGAATGCGCCGTTGCAAATTCAGAGGGCCAAGTGTCACCAAGTCAAAGACCGCTTGACTTGATCCCGAGACGAGAGAGGACAATCGACAGTCGATTACTCGCGAGTAATTATTGTTCCAGGAGGAGTCGTTGGTCGCAGTCGGCGCGCTTTCTTTCCGCCGACGGCGACGTCGCGGAGTCTGGTTCTAATCATTCACGGACGCACGTTTATACTCGGTTACTCCGCTCCGAGAAGAATCGTGCTCGGAAGGAAGACTTGGAGGTGAAGGAAAAAGTAGTTGTTGGAAAAGGAAGCGGCGTTGTCGATTCGACGCTGCTGCGTTCGTCCTCTCTTCCTTATCGGTCAAGGGACAAGAAATTGGTGTTCCCGCGAGTGGCCTACGAGGATTCAGTGGCGATCGAGCAAGTTCGAGAAGAATACAACCGTTTGGCCCGTGTTTGGCGATCCTCGAGATTGGCGCGCTCGATTCGGCGAGTAGGATAGTAGTAAAATCACGGTGACGACGGATGGTGTACTCGCGACGGTGGATAGCAGCGCTGTTGACATGGGACGCACTGACGTCAACGAGGATGACTGGACGCGATTGGCACGCGGCGCGACGCATGTTCCGGATGCGGAACGCCAACTGTCGCGCGCCCCCCGAGGACGAGAGCTTTATACGCGGGAGACGGGCATCGATCGGACAGGCGCTTGCGCTCGCCCGCTCTCCTGGTCCTCCTCCTCCACCTCCACCTCCTCATCCTCTCCTCTCATCCCCCTTTGCCGTTGCTGCCACCCGCCTCCCGCGACCCTTCTTCGTCTCCTCCGCCTCCGCCGCCGCCACCACCACCACCACCACCACCGTCGCGCGTCCTCATCCTCCCTCGCACAACGCATCCGCGACCGCTCGCAACGACCACGATCGCGACCGCGGCCAACGGACCGGATTAACCGCAACCCCGGGGACAATGCTGACCGATGGACGTCCTTTTAGAAAATGACACACCGTAAGGGCCGCACCGCGGTGCAGAATGCACGTGGCATGCGGCGGTGTACCGAGAGGATCCGGCGAATTCGAGGGGACAAATTCGGACTTGAGACGTTTTCATGCGCCAGAGCAGACCAGCGGACGAACCGTGAGGGAATTGTGTCCGTTCCGTTCTCCATTTTCCGCGCAGGATCGTCAACGGGGAAAACGGGGAAAACGGGGAAAACGGGGAGTTTGTGTGGTCGAGGAAACGTTTAGCTTGGGAACGTAACCGGGTGCATCCGACGGCGATTGTCGTCTCCCACCCCCAAGTGGCGATTAAGCCGTCCACGATGCCGCGGAGGAACAATCGCGGAACAATGCCGATGTCATCGTTCAGAGGAAAGATGACGTTTATTTTAAGAGCTATATTTTTAAAAGGAATCAATAATTTCAAGAATATATCATGTAATCGATTTGAAGAATATAAAATGGGTGTGTTGTTATCTGTTATAAAAAGAATGTCTAATTTAAGAGATATACCTTGCGCTATTTTTTAAAGAAAAAACGCAGATTCTTATTTAAGACATGCGGTCTTATTTAAGCCGTTGATTTTCCAAAGTAGGCCACGAGTAAAATCCAGAAAGCAAGGAAAGTTAGGTAATAAGATGCACGTTTGATGTTCCTGCTTTAGGAAAATTTTCTAAATTTGAGTTATACGTTACTTTTAAACAAGGCACCTATATAGCTAGATTCCGCGGTATCATACAAGAGAGAGGTAAGCCTCGTAATACCACCGTGCAAACTTCCTCTTGCAGTCTTCCTCCCCGCACTAATGCAAAATTTATTCCCGTTGCAACGCTTATAAAGGCGTAGGATGGCGCGGAGCGCTCTCGCAAATACGACTCGCGCGTGTAACGCCCCGTTGAGAATATCGTCACTCCTGGTAGTTTAATCCGCTGGGTGTAACGGCGATTCGTCACTGAGTACCTACGCGTAATTAATCGCCGGGGCCGACGCCGTGAAACGCGCGTGCATTTATCACGCGTATTATGGCACGCGGGCTCTCGTTATTGTGCTAACGCTGGACTTAGATGTTTCTGGGCTCCGCTATTGTATCGCAAACAAGAGTTTGCGCCACCACCCGTAAATGCTTCAATTATTCCGAGCGCGATGCAAAACAAAAGTAATTCGCGCTCCGATGAGCCACGATTAAAGATCCCTCCCTCCGCGATACTGCAGGTTACTCCTAATGCGGTAATTAAGCATTTAAACGCTTAACTCACTCCTACGCAAATTACAATGCCGGTTAGTGCCGTGTACAAACGAGGCGAAACGGCCGACAGCAACGCTGTGCTGAGTCGAGAGAGCGAAGTTACGATAACTACATATGAACACATAATGTCAGCGTCTCTAATTAATTTTATTAACGTATGTTTTTGTCCCTGCCATCAGCATAATGTCTAATATCGCAACAGTTTGCCGTTTTAACCTTTTTCATCTACCAAATTTAGATTTATTACTTTATAATAACATTTATGTTATAAAACTGTCGCTCAAATCTGTCAAATCCTCCGTTTATACGGCATCGTACGATTTACGACTTCGAATCTAATTCTCTTTAGAGAAAGTAAGAATTAAGGATTGCAATTCATCAAACTCAATAAAGCTCGGTCTGTTCATCCAGATAGCAATTCATCTACGATGCCATAGAAATACAAATTAATCGCGCTCGTAACACTCCGCAATTACCGTCCCGGCGCTTAATTCCCCTAAAGCTGATCACATATGGATCCGTCGGGTTGCGGCGAGGGAGATCGGTCGGGATGCGAGGCACAATAACGTCGCACCCGAAACGAGGTTGACAGTAAACAATACCGCTCACGAAAAGGGGAGCAAAGTCGATTGCGTGGGGTTTGCTGGGGTCCACTTCGAGGGACAGGAATCTACGTTCTACAGTTGTAGAGCACGTTGATGATCCTATTCCCCTTCCTCGACATAGCGCGCGCGCTACGCCATTTTCCACCGCCTGACAACGACACTTTAGATCAATATCAGTAAATTTGTAGTAAATTTCGACGTTGTACATAGTTGGAAAATTTCTGTTAAATCTAATACGCTTTACATGCAAATTTTTGTGTTAATTTTATATAAGCGGAATATATTATATAAAAAAATTAACACAAAATATAACACTATTCGTATAAAGTATAACTGTTCGTTTATAGTAAAATTTACATTAAAAAACATTACTTTTACTTTATTTGTTCGTTGATGCATAAACAACTGTATTATTTTAACACTAAAAAATGTTGAATATCAATTTAACACAAAATATTTAAATAACACGATTACGTTATGTTAAATTAACACTCAAATATTTAATCAAATATACTCAATTCAGTATCTACTATTTCGCGCTTAATTGTTTTTATTAATTATTATTTTAATATTTATCAAGATTATTTATATATTTATATACTTTCTAAATTTTATCAAGTTTCAATCGTAAACGACGCTGATATCGCAATATCGATCAATAGCATTTGTTAATTAGATAATTTCCACGCTAACGCATATCCAAATATCAAAGCATCGATACCAGTAGATATTACATTGGCATTGCCAACTGGCAAGACGGGAAGAGCGATACCCTGTTATTTGTCCCGCTGGCAGATTAAGATAATGAGCTAACACGAAGCCATCAGGCACTGCACCATACTGCGCTGGTTGTTGGTCCGAGAAAGGCGATCTAGGAAGGGTGAGGGTCCGGAGGGTATACAGATACAATGACCGGTGACCATGCGATCCCGCCGGACGAGCCGCGGGAGGCTTATGCCCTATGCGGGAGAGAGGCTCGATGTGAGAATTATCGTGTGAACCTATCGTCGAGCATGCGCCAGCAATCATCTCGTTCCACGACAGGATGACGCGTGCACCGTCTGTCGCGAGAAACATCTCCATTGATGTGCACGAAAACTGCGCGAAAAAATTATTAAATCCACAAATCGATGGATATAACAAACGTTTACAATCGATTTGAATAGACTTATAAAATATATCTCACCCTTAGATTTTTTACAATAACTTGATTTAAAGTGCATGGATCTCTTTCAAAATATGTTATAATTTAATAGAGAACCAGACGCATGATGAGTAAGCAGAAGTTTTAAATTGTAAAATTCACGCAGAAATATTATTAGGCGCCAAGGTCCGTTTTGATCGAATAAGCCCATACAGTACATAAATTTGCAACAACATTGTTTGCAATGTTGCTGTAATATTGCTGGAATAATCTGTGCTCTACAGAAGGTCTTCACTTGTTCACTTATTTGTGTTATTCACATATCGCTCGACTTTCTATTTATTATTCTGCAGTTAATTTTTCTACACTATTTATCTATATGTAATCTATATTATTTACAGTATAAATATTATTATTTATATTAATCTTCCTTTTTTTGTTAAATTAATAAACGGAATTTAACGTGATTTTTTCAGTTAACTTTTTTGCGCTCTCCATATTCAACGTTCTTTAAGAAGACCGCCGCGCCGTGGAAATATATACATGCCGTGTATACGTGCGAGCTCGCAGTTTATTCGTAATCATTTCTGTGCATGGTGACGTGTGCCCGCTATTATCCTCTCGAACTCATTGCTCGCAACTTGCAAGAGAAGTCGGCGTTTCCGCTCTGTCGGTTTATCGCGTTTTAACAACGTAGATCCGCCTACGCTTTCTGAGAATATTTCACTGCTTGATTCGATTTGCATCTTAATGAAATTTGTTCGTTTATTAATGTCGCCCTGCGACAACTACTTGTTATGTTTCGAGCGCATTATCGTCAGAAAAGACAATCTGAATGCGCGACAGATGCGCCGCAGGGGATGTCTTCATTCGTACTGATTCGCCTGTGAAACATATTACGAAATTTTGATCCATCTGCTGTTTCATAACATTATGCTAATTATGTTGCGTCACTTCAACGTTATTAGCGCAAGCAGTATTAGCTTAAATAATTAATTTGATAATGTTAATTTGGTATGAAATAGTATATGGTGTACATACAATCCGCTAACATACCAAAATAACAAGCACTATATAACGACAATAAATTAAT